TCGAAGGTACAAACATTTGCCCGTATTCGCTAAAGCAAGTCTTACAAGTCCTAATAATAGATAAAAAACGAGCACAAGGACGGTTCCATAGTATGATTAACAGGAATGACAGGAAGGCATAAGAGATTTATATTCAAATTGAAAATCTCTGCAAAAGTGTAGTAAAAATATATTCAAGGAAGAATATCTATGCCCTAAGTCTTGTGAGGTAAAATTTTATATCGAACATTTACCACTAAACATACTTGTGTTTCAAGTCTTGTATATTCGCATTCTTTTTACGCCCTAGTTATTGAGTTTTCTCGATACTTGACAAAGGTAGACATTTCGAATTGACTATTGAGTATGTACCACCTCCTAGCATATCTCTGATACTGAGTGTATATCTGAGCTTTCTGCACCTTGAATCGTAGATATATTTGAAGTCCAAAATTAACGAACGTACCCAACAAGAGCCGCATTGACTTTGGTCCAAAATTTCGCCGATGACGGTGCAGTTCTTCCACTTCTCACGTGCGTCGAAAAATTCTGGGACTCTCTCGTCAGGAGGCCAGTTGGGGTCGTTCATTTTCCGCAGGAAAAGCACCGTACTAATCGACCATTCCACCCCCAAGAGGTCCACCAGGTCATTCACTGTCGTATTTTCTCCAAAATTTCTCCCCGCCTGGAAATGATAGATATGCATCAAGGACTGCGAGTACATCCAAAACAGCTTAATGAACCTTCCTTTTACATCCATCGAAGGATACCGTTTGAAATGAGATAAGCCACGCTAAGGAAGAACGCCGCATGAGCCTTCAAATATTGCCGAAGTCCCTTTGATAAAATGAGAATTTCTTGAGAAACCTGAGAATATGTTTCCTCAAATTTTTCAAAAAATGTTTTTCTCAATCATATCTAAATTAGCTGAAAATTTCGTGAGAAATTAATCTTATGTTTCCTTAAAAATATAATTTTCTCGGAGGTAATTCAACAACCCTCGAATGTTCAGAATGCTCTTGAATGTCTCCTTAGCTCAACAGTATTGAGCGCATACTTTTTTTAGATGGATGCTTGTCAGAATCCTGACAGATGTTTGCTTAAAAAATTCCGACAATATAGAATGCGAATTAAAAAGTCATAATTTTTAAATAAACAGATAATTTGTTCTGAGCATCCTTAAAATGTATGAAAATCGCACGCTATTATTTCGTTCTCAATGTGTTGTACGATGTACTGTCATCGTATGTTTACGATCAGCACAGATGTATTGTTCGGTGGATGTTATACTCTGTGGTTTTCAATAGGCGGTATCTGTTTTTATTGGAAAAATTTGCGGTTGGGATGAATTTCATCAATTTTTCCTTAAGTTAAGGATTTAACCATGACTACGTGACAAAGTGACAAGCGCAACTGACCTATCCTAACAGAGCATATACGAGCTCTGCCATTGGCCGTCAGTTGCGCTGATCCACAGCAATGACCCACCAAAGTCTTCAATATTCCCAGACACGAAGAGAGATCCTCCACTAAACGTCTGGCTACAGGTGGAAAATTTTACCCTCGGAAATTGGCAATTAGTTCCTCATGAACAATGGGCCTATCGCAAACTTTTGCAAGGGCAAAAAAAAAGAGTTGCTCCTTGCAGATAATGTCTCAAAAATCACGATGAGCGCATCTGCAAACTCTGAAATGCACTCCTACCTCCTAAATAGCTCAAGTTTGCCACAGGCTCACACAGAACCTGTGCGTACCTCCAGGAATCGCTGCGTTGCTTGAAAATCGGGCATTGAGTGAGCCTCGATCATTGACCTGTCAAACAAGGGCAGGATCATTGGGCTTTTGTTTCAATGCGCTCCCGAAAATCGTGTCCCTCAGCCCTCAGCTCCCTCTATTCTCAGAATCCTGTTTAGATACTGGATTCTTGTTAATCAGTGAACATGGAAACGATTGTGCGGATTCTTCTACAGATTTCAGAGAATTCTCTGCACAGTACGAAATAATTTCTTTAAACAGTTCAAACAAAACCCGCATGAACGCTCTCTTGTAAAAAATCAAAATGCTCAGTTACATTTGGCAATAGATGTGGCTTGGTTCCTTTTCGCTAAACGCGGTCCATTTATCCAAAACCACTCACCTTCCACAAAGCTTGCTGACTGTTGACCCTGTCGATGATCTTGTTGAGTTGGAGGAAGTTCTCGGCCAGGTTGAGGGACGGCAGCGCCGACGAAGACCCCTGCCGCAGGCGTTGAAGGGACACCGCGTTGAAGACACCAAACCACGTCACCAACA